AGAATAACCTTCATAGGTTCATATATTTGAATGCTTAGGGAGTGGCGCTATTTGAAAGGATTAGAAGGTGTGGCCTTGTGGGAGGAAGTTGTCACTGCTGTGTTGAGCAACTCTGTTTGTTTGCCATGACTGAAAGTTGCTGCCAAAGGCCTTGCATTTCTCTCCACCGGAAGTCACTGCACATTCGTTCTCTCCACCGGAAGTCACTGCACATTCATTCTCTCCACCGAGAAGTCACTGCACATTCGTTCTCTCCACCGGGAAGTCACTGCACATTCGTTCTCTCCACCAGGAAGTCACTGCACATTCGTTAGCCACTTTTCTGATGCTGTGATTAAAACATCATGGCCAAAAGTGAGTTGGCCACACTATCAAAAAGGGAAGTCAGGGCAGGAGCTCAAGACAGGAACATGGAGACAGGAACTGAAGCAGAAGCCATGGAGGAATGCTGCTTATTGCCTTGTTCTCTGCAGCTTGCTCTGCCTGCTTTCTTACACAACCCAGGATCACACACACAGGGGTGGCACCACCTACAGTGGGCTGCGCCCTCCCACATCAATGACTAATCTAGAAAATGGCCCATTTTCTCAATTGAGGCTCACTCTTCTCAGATGACCCTGGCCTATGTCAACTTGACAGAAAAACCTAACCAGAACATATATGATCTAGATTTGATGAAACTACTGCCTTTGTTGGCTCACCTCACCCCTGTGCACATGCATGTGAGTGTGTGTGTGTGTGTGTGTGTGTGTGTGTGTGTTATGCATGTGCACCTGTCCATGTATGATAGTGATGTCGCTCTGTATGCTGTAAATATGTTGCTCTGATTGGTTGATAAATAAAATGCTGATTGGCCAGTAGCCAGGCAGGAAGTATAGGTGGGATAAGCAGACAAGGAAAATTCTGGGAAGAGGAAGGCTGAGTCAGGAGAGAAGCCAGCCAGCCACCCAAGGGGCAACATGTAATGGGACACAGGTAAAGCCACAGAAAATGTGGCAAAACAGATTAATAGAAATGGTTTAAGATATAAGAGGTAGCTAGCAGGAAGCCTGCCATGGCCATAGTTTAAAAATAACATAAGCTTCTGTGTGTTTACTTGGGTCTGAGTGGTTGAGGGACTGGTGGGTGAGAGAGATTTGTCCTGACCATGGGCCAGGCAGGACACAGGAAAACTTTCAGCTACCCATGTATGCACATGAATGTTGGTGCACTGGGTACAATGCTTTGTCATCCTCTGCCTTATTCCATTGATACAGGGTCTCTCACTGAACCTGGATTTAGGGAACCTGGATTTGGGGTAGTAGTAAGCAAGTCCCAGAAATCCTCCTGTCTTCACTCCTCAAAGCAGTGGGGTTACAGGTCCATGCACAGCCACACCCAGCTTCAAACTCAGGTCCTGATGCCTGCATGGCAAGGGCTCCCGCCCACTGGGCCACTCCCCAGACCCTACTGTTAACGACTTTCATGCAGGTACACTACACTTTAGGTGGGTTCACAAATGTGGAATGTGTGATTGGTGAGAATGGACTGTACGTGGCATGAAGTTCAGCCAACTCTTACCAGGATGTAACAGGAAGTGTTTTCCTATGGGAAAAAGGAAAAAACACAGCAAGAAAATTCCCAAGTGTGCAGTACTAACCTGAGCTGTGTCTGTAAGTGTGAGGCCACAAGCACATCGTGGATCTGTGGGGAACCTCAGAAGACACTCAGCCATTTCCCAATCTTTCTGTCTGCAGCTGTGGTGCCCGTTTGGGGTTCTGTGCTTTAGGGGTACCACTGAGATAGGTAAACAATCTTCAAAACACGTATTTCACTTGGACAAGAACCCACAGCTTACACCAAATGCCAAGGTTCTGGTTTTGATTTTGTGAAATTTCCTGGCATTCTATGATGACAGATCTATTTTATAATATATGTGACAATTACACAAAGACAGCCCTATATGATAAGACTACGTGCCACCTGGCACTCAGAACTTCACCCTCACAGACAAGCCTTCAAACAAAAACAGACAGCTTAAACAATTTCAACTGTGTGCTAAGCTTTCACATTTCAGAGCTCTGTGGGGACACCAGGAAAGTTGCTGGTTAGAGGACAGAAAAATCATTTACTTAAATGGTTCTGAAGACAATGGCATTTTTGAAGGTAGGTACTGCAAAATAATCCTTTTATCATTTTGTTTATGGTAATGATTTTTACATTGCTGTGGGTACTTTTGGGCAAAGTCCAATTGAACAGGAGAGAAGTCACAGAACAGCAGCCATTGTGAATAGAAACTCCAAAGTAGCTGCAGCCTCTAGGTGCTTTCTCCCCAGCTCCGTGGCTTCACCCTCGGGATCCTGGGACAAGAAGAGTTTTCTTGTGAGGAGTGGGATGCAGCCAAAGTGACATAAATGACGGCGTGTGCTGTGTCAACACCAGAACTGCAAACTCCTGGGCCAGCAAGATTCTTCCGCTGAAATTCCTTTTCCATGTGTTTCTTCCATTTTGGTCGCAGTGTCATGCTGAGACCCAGCTGGCGCCACACTTCTAGATCAATGGGAAGGTTAGAGCTGCCCTTTGCTTCACTTGGGAACAGGTGGGGAGGGAAGGGAGGCGCAGTGAAAATGGAGGTCCCGGGCTCAGCATTCTGGCCTTAGTTCCAAACCATAGCTTGAAGGCCTTGAAGACCTCCCTGTCATCTGCCTTAGGGACATTCGTCTGTTTATACAAACAGACAACCATGTTCACTAGGACATTCCCTACCCGTGTGTATTAAGCACACCACCTTGAAGTCACAAGACTTGAAGTCACTTCTCTCAGCATACTGTCTGTTCACTATTGCACTGTCTGCAATCCTGGATGTTTGCAGAATGTTTGCTGTCTTTTCTGCCATCGGAACTACTGATATCTTCTACTCATCTGCTATGATTTGAATCTGGAATGCGGTATAATGGAGAGGTGGAAGAACCTTTAAGGGGTGTGGCCTAGTCAAAGGAAGTTTTCCTTCACTTGCTCCTTGTCTACTGTGAACAGGTCTCTGTGACCACATGCTCCCACCAGTGTGTCCTGTGCTGTCACAGACACAGAACCATAGTAACCGTGGACTGAACCCTTATTAAGCCAATTATCTCACATATTCAGTCACAGTGACAGAAGATAACACATCTTCCATGAAGCGCTCCCCTCCAAGAAGCAGATGAGAAGACTTGGAAAAGGCTATAATCTTAGTGTTCTTAGCTCAAATACAAAACTCCAGGTTCCCTTAATTATAACATGGTTAAAGTCTTCACCATTTAACTGCAAGCAATTGTATTAATACTGGCTTGGTTTTTCATTTTTTGGCTTTCATCAGTGGTATATAAAATTGTAGGAGTTTTTTCCAATCTTATTGCTGATATGTATTATATAATATAGCACTAACTGAAAATGGATACTCAATAAATTTGCCTTGGTTTTTTAGGTCAAGTTGTACTTTACATTGCCATTAAGGGAAGGCCCCAGGTTACAAGTGACTTAGTAAGACAGCCTTGAGGTGATAAAGAAAACTGGTCAATGGCATTCATCAAACTTCTGCACCCTGACAGCTGCATGTGCCACCCTTCCAGCTGTTGGTATTATACCCTTAAATATCTTAAGTCCCACAGCATCTGTGAAAAAAAACTCAAGGTCTCTTTTCGAATGCTCTTACTTCTGGCTGGGGTTCACACATACTTAACAAGCATCCTACCACAGAGCTACACCTCTATCTGAGCGGTTTTTATCGACTCCACTACACCTACCCTAGCTAGATCAGTCAGTTTATGAACAGCAACACTCTCTGATCCCGACCTGTTCATCTCCAGTTTCTGTCTGTCTGCCCTGTGTCAGAACTAATCCCAATGAGAACAATGGTGCTTGAAAGACCATTTCTTCCAGGAAGTGGGGAATCTCCATATGTAGTACCAAGCCCCTTGGCAAAGAACTTGGAAAAATTAGTGTTTGGCCAGGCAGTGGTGGCCCATGCCTTTAATCCCAGCACTCGGGAGGCAGAGGCAGGCAGATCTCTGTGAGTTCGAGGCCAGCCTGGTCTCCAAAGCGAGTTCCAGGAAAGGCGCAAAGCTACACAGAGAAACCCTGTCTCGAAAAACCAAAAAAAAAAAAAAAAAAAAAAAAATTAGTGTTTGATGGTCATAGTGTGGACTGGTGTTCCATCGCTTCCTTGAGTAGAAATCTGAGACAGTCCTCCACAGGAAAGCACTCTTTCTACCAAGAGAGTGTCCGCCATCGTGTTGATACTCTGGCAGGCTTAAAGTGCTGTTTTTGCTTTCTTGAAATCAAGAAATACCACTTTATCATGACATCAAAGACTCCGAGTCACAGCTCTTAACAAATGACTTACACATGGGATACATGACAAGCAGCCTCTGAGCAAAGAGTATACCAAAAGCCAATTTTGATAAAGGAGGATAAACATCAGAGACAGAAATTTGAATGCAGTTTCTTCAGTGAAACGGTGTAGAATAATGGGTAAGGAAACAGCATTGACGGAAAATGGAGAAATGAAAACGATCCTGACTGTCAATGTTATAATGCTGCCAGGTGCAGGTTTCGACTGACTTACATCAGGCCGGCTCTTTTCCCAGCTATGAAATGTTATTAATAGACAGGGGTAAGGTCACAGAGGGAAGGTGAGACAGCAGTACGGAATTCAAAGCCTTCTCTGACTCTAATTTATACAACCTTAGAAAGAGTAGATTAAAGGCCAGGGTTTGAAACAGGAGAATTTAAAACAACAAGCACATTTGTCTTGTGTATTTATATTGCTACAAAAACATTTTCATGATACACACACACACACACCACACACACACACACACACACACACACACACACATATATATACACACTTGCAATGTATATTTAAATTCTGATTTGACAATGTAGAAGGAAGATTGTACCTTTATGCTAATTATGCTTGTATCTGATAGGACTCATGCCTTGGAAAAGTCATAGAGGGCTCCATGGAAATGTAATAAACATACTGATTTATGTCCACGTTTAATAAACACTTTAAATTTTAACATTATCATTCATAGATGGGACATATAAGTAGGAAAAAAAGAGGTATTATTTCATGAAGGGGCTTTCTGAGTAAATGCTTCAGTTGCGAGCTGATCTCTAGGCTGCAGAATACACACATTTTTGGAATGTTTGACAAGGTCCATCATAATTTGACAGGTGGTTGAGTTGCAGGTTCCACTGGGCACCTTTTGCTTGACAGGATTCCAGCACAGTTCTTGCTCCCGGAGAGTTGAGAAACCTCTTTGGTCACATGTTAGGGTTTAGTGCTTGGATGTCAGAGTGAGTGTTGAGGAGACCCGGAAGATCTGGGGGAGCATGTTACTTAGCTGATAAAACATTTCTTCAGAAATACTCTGTAAGAGGGAAACAAGAAAAGAGTTTGCAATTATTAGACCATCACTGACCTTTTCATCTTTTCAAAGTATTTTAAAATATGGATCTCACTCTAGATAGGGAGTGTAATATGTGAAAATTATCTTGCATGACTGATTTACTAACTACAGATTGGAGCTGTTTTTCTAGTTCCAACCCTCTGGCAACTTACAGAAATATCAAGTAAAGATTCTGATTACTAGAAAAACTCCCAGTCAACATCACTAGTTTTCCGCCTGTTTTGCTAAGTTCTAAACAGAATTCAGAACCCTTGAAGGTATCAACCATTACCGGTATCAATGCTATCAGTGGGTCAATCCCAGCACTTGGGAGGCAGAGACAGGCAAATCTCTGTGAGTTCAAGGCCAGTCTGGTCTACACAGTGAGTTCCAGGCCAGCCAAGACTACATAGTGAGACCCAGTCTCGAAAAAGAGAATTCAGAATCATCTGCTAATGGTCTTCCTTCCTTCCTTCTCCCCCTCCCCCAATCTTCCTAGCAGAAGGGAAGACAAGTCTCTTTGGTTTGGAGGCTAGAGATCTGCAGAGTGGTAGGTGCTCACATCTTTGCAAGCACACTAAGTGCCTGCATGGCATCCAGACACACTTCTCCCCTTAAAGTCAGGCCGTTATATGGAATAGTTCAGGGTGGCACACTTGGCTGAATCTTTGAGGAGTATCTTAGACGGCTTTAGTGTGGAGTGGGATTCACTCAGATAACACAGCTTTGGGCTGGGGCGGGATCTGCTCAGATAACACACCTGTGGTACCAGAAATTGCACTGTCCTAGAAATTCCTCCGTCCCATGAAGCCATCTCCATCATGAAACCTAAAACAGAACAACAGGCTGCTGTGTTATGAGCTTTGGCTTTTCATCCCAACACTCCTATACCAAGGTGAGCAGGATTTTCACTGTGGGCCTCATGTCTTGACCGCTTGGGTAGCCACTTGTCCAAAGGAAAGGCTAAGCCTCTGGGACAGATAAAGACTCACAGGCTCTGATTCTCTATGCCAGAGTTTTAACAGTTTTGCCAACAAGCTCAAAGACCTATATGGCCTTCACAGAATGAAGATAAAACAGATTATGAAAAGTTAATTCAGTTTTTGGCTCTATTTTTTTCAGAAAATAAAAGGCAATCAAGAGCAGTCAGAATCAGCAACATGTAAATGGCATCTGTGGTAGTTTATATTAACCATCATCTTGACAAGATCTAGAGTTGCCCTGGAGACTCTCCACATGTCTGTGAGGATAACTGATGTGGGATGACCCCACCCCCCTCGGGGTAGGTGGATCGTTCGTTCGTTCTATGGGCTGGGGTCCTAGGCTGCACAAGTGAGGGAAGGCTACCTGAGCCCCCACATTGATCTGTTTGGTGACCAGATGAATGTGACACACTTCACTGCTGCCGCCAAGTCTTCCTGCGTGGTGGACTGCAATTCAAAGTCTGAGCCATTCTCCTGCATTTGAGTTTGTCGGGCGCTCTGTTTCAGCATCACGTGACACAACTAATACAGCACCCAGATACCCTGGTGTTCCAGAACAGCTAGAGAGCTGTTCATTTGTGGCTGACAAATGATAAAATCACACAGTCTACTATGAGATAGTCGATTAAGCACCTGACGGAAGCACCAGGGACAGAGGCAACTTTCACATCTTCCCTTTGCTGGCTCTTCTTTCACTAACTGGGATGGGATTTACATAGTGGCTGCTAAGCATCGGCTCTGCTCACCTTTGACACACTTAAATACCAGTTCTGCTCGCCTTAAGCACCAGGGTATAGTCATTTCCTAAAAAGACACACAAAAATATGTTTTCAGCAAAATTTTATATAAAAAAATAAAACCAAAACCCCTATCATTAGATCTTTATCTATAATGTTGAGTGCTCCTGTTTAAGATGAATCCAGGCTAATATGCTAATCACCCCAACTGCATTTCCTTGGCTTTTAGACATATAGCTTCTACCCAGTAAACTATACTTGCAGAATGAAAGCTGATTTAAACAGGACTAAAAATGAACATATCTTTGAAGGTTCCTAGGAAATTAATTTTAAAGTCAGTTAGTGACATAGTTACTCCATCAAATAAACATTCAATGCTAGCATGATAATTATGTTGGATTATACAATAACTGCAAGTGAAATAAAATGTTTAATTTACCATATAGTACATTATCATAGAAGTAATGGCAAGTAGCCTACATCAGACAGCTAATGAGTTAGAAGTACTCATTTTCTTCATTTGATTTTTTAATCTTTAGCCAATATGCTCATGGATACACTAGACTATGCGAACACCTTATGATTTTCCATAGCATGTTAGTGAGCATACCATTCAATTCTATTTCTTTGCACCTGTCACAGAATTATCTTCCCATTCTGCAAATCTTTTCATAACTATAAATTGTGTTATTTCATTATGGTGTTTCTTAAACTTTTGGAATTCAGGATATTTTATACTTAGTCATACCACACAAGAGATTTATTGGGAGGGAAAACCCCAAGCGGGTGGCTGCCTCTGCTAGAAGCAGCAGAGAACCGAGCAGAAGACAGGGTTTATTTTATATAGGGTTCCTTGGGGTGGGGGTGGGGCAGGAGTGAGATTTCCAGAGTGGAGATTTCCAAGGTAGAGATTGGTGGGATTTTAAATCCTGAGCTTGGGCTTTTTACTCGGTAGGGAGGCGGCTGGGTCCAGCCCTCAAGACAGTTAAGAGTGTTCTGTGAATGCAACCTGGCTGTTGGAGGTCCCCAGGGTAGGCTGGGCCACTTGCGTGCCTCGAGGAGCTTATACATATGATACACATTTACTAAAAGTCACAAGTAGGAACGAAATCAAAGGCATAATTGAGTTATTGCATCACTGTAAAACATTACTGTAAACAACACTTTTTGAAACCCCACAGTAATAGCCTAAATGAATTATTATATGATCTTAATGAAGTGCTTGTTTTACATATATAAATGTATCACCAGATAGTAGTTTGTTTTACAACCTGAAGAACAACTTATGAACACCAGGTAAAGGTCAGGAAAACAACTAATTGTGAGTTACGAGAAAAGAGCTTCTGAATGGCCAGCTCTGCACACCAACATATAGAGCATGGGTTATCCAAATACATTGTCATCAGGGGAACAGTGGTAATGTGGAAGGCTGCAGCACAGCTGGACTGTCCAAAAGAATGTAGGAAAAGTGATCAAATTTTTTCACTGCCCTTCTTGTCCAAAAAGCACCACATTTATCCATTTATGCCATGCTTCCTTACTGTTTTGTATATGTGTGACTAATGAATATATGGCATGAGACAAATTAAGAATTTTACACTCTTCAGAATGATGTGAATTGACAGCTTCATCGATGCTACTTAGAAGACATACCAAAATACCAACTCATGAACCCAGCAGAGCTATGAAGTGCAGGCTACAGTCTACAGCACAGTCTAATGCACTGGCGATTCACACTGTCATACACAATTTATTTTTAACTTACTATTGTTTATTAGTATAGGTCTAAAAAGAAATGCTGGACAGCTAAACATTTTCCCCAAATCTTTCATATATCTATGTAGCAATTCTATCTCACAAATAAGTTAGATGTTTGCCAGTTTTCTTACTCTACCACTTATTTTTTTCTGATTAAAATAGTACCTAAGGGGGAATGGAGAGATGACTCAGCAATTACGAACACTTGCAGTTCTTGCAGAGGACCCAGGTTCAATTCCCACACCTACAGAGTGGCTCACAACAATCTGTAACTCCAGTTCCAGGTGACCTGACACCCTCTCTTTTGACCTCCCTGGTTACCAAGCATATATATAATGCACATACACACAGGCAGGCGAACACTCACACACAGAAAATAAAATTGAAAAAATTAAAGACACCCCCCAACCCCCGCAAAAACCAACTCTTTGCCTACAAGAGTAGCCTTCCGAAGTTCAGAAGGCCATGAGAAGACATGACTCACTGCTTGTTACCATGGGATGTGGCCAGTGGTTACACAAGCTCACTCCCAGAAACAGACTTTAGGATATGTTGTTGTAGATGGGATAGAGACAGGCAACAGCAACAGAATTTAGAATATAAGTCCTATATATGGCAAAGTGACTAAGTGAACGCACTGTGTGGGAAATTCACCGAAAGCTAAATGGATCAAATGACACACTTTGGAATTTGGAACCAGGGCAGGAACCTGGGCCATGCTATTATACATATATTATAAACAGGCGTTGTAGGAAGAATAGATTCTAAAGATCTAGAACTGAAATTAACTCTCAATTTTGATTTTAATAAAAAAAATCTTTTATTTAAATGTAATACCCATACACGGACACCTGAATCTTTGGATTAGGGTTAAAGTTGAATTACTGGAGTGTCTGTTTGCCTATTTTCTTTTTTACTTTTTGAGACAGTATCTTGCTACATATTCCAGGCTGATCTCAAACTCTTGGCAATCCTCCTGTCTCAGCCTATTGAAGGTTAAGATTACAGATGTGTGAAACCATATGTCATGTTAGGTTCCATATCTTCAAAGTTAGATACAAATTCATATACCAATGTAAAGTAATACAAGATTATTCTTTGCTTCTCATGTATGTGCCCCTGAGATATTTGAAACATTTGTATAAATAAGTTTTATAGTCATTGCAGAGGGTGAGCAAACAGCTTTGATTCTTTTGGGGGAGGTGGACAGGATCTCACTATTTAGGCCTGGCAGGCCTTGAACTCACAAAGATGTATCTGCCTTTGCCTCCTGAGTGCTGGGATTAAAGGTTTTGAACCATCATATCCAACTTGTTTCTTACTTTTAACATTAAAATACAACATGGCTATTACAACCAATTTGGAAGACAATTTGGCCATATCTGTCAAAGCTAATCATAAACAAACCCAATAACCAATAGCTCCATCTCTAAGTTTATTTATAACAGAATTGCCAAAAGAGATGTATAAAGTGTTCACAGGAGCATTACAAGTAATAACAGAGATTCGGGACCCTGCACAACTCACACCTCTATATCCTGGCCTAGGCCATCTGAGTTTGTAGAGTAAACTTCTTGACCTTGACTGGAGGTTTAAATTTAACAAAAGGAAAATCTAGAAAACACCCAAATGTCCTTAAAGAGTAAAAAGGTTAAATAATTGCAGTCGATCCACATCATGTTATATATAACAGTGAGACAAAGTCAAAGACGTGCGTGCCTCACAAACGTAGTACTGACTGAAAAGAGTGAGAGCTATATAACACTCCACACGTGGACCCGACGGGCCCACAGAAGACAAGGGTGTGCCTCCCAAACTCAAACACTGCACACGTGGACCTGACTGACCCCCATTTCAGACACGTTTCTACACTTCTCTCCACACTGCTCCCTCTCATCTGTTTATCAAGAATCAGTTCTTTCCTGCCACTGGGCTCTGGAGGTCACGTTCAAGTTGTCAGGCTTGGCAGTAGGCACCTTTATCCAGGAAGCCAGCCATCTTCTTAGCCCTTAGGCCCCACTTTTAAGTGAAAATCAGGGATATTCTTTCGTGGAAAAGGGTTTAAGTAGCTGGAGTACATGGGCAGCTTCCAGGGTGCAAGAAATGTTCTGTTCTGTGTATGATCTGGGTATGAGTTCCAGGTGTTCAGTCGGAGAATCTGAGCAGAATGCTCGCATACATTATGTATATGTACTCAAACCTCTTCTTTCTCATAGCAATTACAAAAGTCACAAGCCCCAAAGGATCCAGTAGTTAACAAGTGAACAAAGAGGCAAGTGGGGAACTCAGGATTCCTGACTTGCAGACCCATCCACTTTAGGTTAGACTGACTCCAATAAGACAGTGTCTTTAGATCACAGACAGATAAAAGCCACGTTTCCCCCTAAAGCTGCTTTTGTTTTTCATTTCCTCTTTATTTTTAAGCTGAAAACAATTCCACAGCTTTTTTGTCTGTCATGGCTATCAGGAACTATTTCAGACCCCACCATTACTTTGACACCTTAACATGTGGCAACCACATCCAGAAATCCTGTTTGCTAGAGGAGGAGAAACACCATCTGAGAACACTTTGGGATCCCTGCACAAAACCCACCACACACCTCTATATCCTGGGCTGTGCCCTCTGAGTTTGTCAAATAAACTTCCCGACCTTGAAGGATGTTTAAATACAGCAGATGGGAGGCCTGTGGCTCAATCTACTTTTGTGAATTAAATTGGACACTTCCGAAACAAACTTAATGTTCTGCAGCTGGCTGTCCCAGTTTGAAGGGCAGCTTTTGTAACACCGTGGGAGAGGGAACCCCGTCCTATCAGATGTCTGGAAGTCGATCTGAACTGAGTGACTTTTGGAAACTGTTTTTGAGGTTGTTTCCCACCTACGTATAACCATTTTTATAAGATGGTTAACCAGGAATCCAGCTGCAGGAATGTCTGGCTGTTTCCTTGTGGCAGGAATTCATCGTAGCTGTCACTCCCTAAAGACCTTTTATAGATGACTAGTTAGTGAGGATCACTAACACATTCTCCACAGAACTGAAACTTTACAAAGCACTGTCTATCTCTCCTGGTGTCACTCAGGGGAGAGTGAGTGGGGTGAGAATAGGGAAGTGTGGGGCTGCCACCACAAGATGGTAACACAATCCTCTTGCTAAAACAGTAATGTGCTCGCTGAGCAAAGACCCCAGACTACAGTATAAGCTGGAAATCACCTAGCTTCCTCACTTAGATGGAACTGATTATTATAGTGTTTATATTGATTGCAAGGTTAAAACGAGGCCTTCTGAAATACAATCAGTCTGATGGGGGGGTTAATTCTTTACACTTTCTTCTATAATAAAACATTTGCACACATTTTTATTTTGGTATTAACTTTTGGTCTTGTGCTGGATAGTTTTATGTCAACTTGACACAAGCTAAAGTCATCTGAGTGGAGAGAACCTCAATCGAGAATGTGTTTCCATAAGATCTGGCTGCAGGCAAGCCTGCAGGGCATTTTAACTAGTGATTGATGGGGGAGGGCCTAGCCCATCATGGGTGGTGCCATTTCTGGGCTGGTGGTTTGGGGTTCCATAAGAAACCAGGAGAGAGGCAGTAAGTAGCACCCATCGACGGCCTCTGCATCAGCTCCTGCCTCCGGGTTCCTGCCCTGTTTGAGCTCCTGATGGAAAGTGTACCCTTTCCTCTCCAAGTGCTTTGGTCATGGTGTTTCATCACAGCAATAGTAACCCTAACTAGCACAGTCTTCAGATAATGAAGTTTGCTTCCTGAAATTAAATCTGCACAGAAGACAGCAGTTTCTATTAGTGCAGTGGCTCACAGCTGTAATCTTGGTACTCTGGAGACAGAGGCAGGAGGATTGAGGCCAGACTGAACTACATAACGTTGTGGGAATTCGTTCCACCAATAGCTGTGGGGTACAAGCCTTAGGGTGTGGCTTCTTGTCTGCCTATGTGACCACTTAAAAGAGGAGAGAGAGAGGGTCACTGTCTTTTGGGTGGTGGAGACCACGTCAGGCAGTGTGGAGCGGTGTGTGTTGATCCCCATCCTTCCTGCGCAAAAGAGAAGGACTCTGCAACTGGCTCTCCCTTATCCTGTATCTGTGAGTCTGTTTTCCCATAGCACCATTGATACATTGATACATATCCATATACACACTCTTTGGGCTATCATTTCAACATAATGAGTACCAGGTTAGCCAAGGTTACAGAGCAAGACTATCTCAAATAAATAAATGAAAAAAATATAAATAAATACCCATACTTCCTTCACCTCTCCCCCAAACAAAACAAAAAAAAATGTGCCCCTGCCTGCTTGGAAACCCTGTATCTGCTTGTGCGGAAGAAGGGCTTATTTGCTTACACAGGGGACTCCCACAAAAGGACTTATTTGCATACATGTGGGGTGCAGTTTATTTGTTCCTTTAGCTTTTTGAAGTTGAATTTTAAACTCTGTTTAAGTTCTACAACTTGTTCCCTATCCTTAGTTTTCACATGCCTGAGGGAAGACAGCCTCAAGGAAGCACCCAAGAAATCTTGTGCAACTAAAAATGTCAAATAATCCCCAGCACCTAATAAAATAGGTAAATGATTTTGCCACATCTTCATCATGTAAGCCAATATCTGTACCATCAAAAAGACCTCCTTGAGAAAACGGTTTCTTTCTGCTGTCTAGAGTCTCTTTCCATTACCTACTAATGCATATCCAGAAAATGCAAACTTATCTTAGCATTGACCAAAGGCAAGTGTAAATAGAGGGGTCAGTCTCTGTTCAGATGGTGTCACGAAAAGACAGGGAACGCGAGAAGCACCAACACCTCCTTTGGCTGTCTGAGCAGACCTGAGCCTCTGGAACACTAGATGACTCATAATGGAGTCCCAGCTAACTGGAGATACTCGAATTTGGCACCAAAGCCCAGGGTGTTGCCTGCTTCTTGTCCTTTGTCTACAGACATACTGCCTGAACACACTGCCCTCCTCCTGTTCACCATCACATAATGCAGGTTGCGTGCCATTTGGACCCATTGGACAGTAACTCAATAAGACCTTAGCTGATGGGATAACGTATGCATATATGCCAATGAACACACACACTAAACCAGATCTGCACCTCAGTGCTGGCCTCTGGAGTCTGCTTCCCGGGAAACTCATCGTGACTCCATCTTCCGTACCCTTCTCCCACCAAGCCGCTGGTGAGAGGGAGAAAAACTCCACAGTAAATGTGAAGATAAATCTACTGCTTCTTCAAGTAAAACCAGAGAAGGAAAAGGAAGTGGAGGGGAAGGGTGAGTAGAAGAAAGGCTAGAAGACCCATTTATTATTGAAAGTTAAAGATGCTCTTGAATTCCATGCCTACTAATATCAAGCAACACATAATTTTCTGAGCATTGCTCACTGGTTTTGTTTGTTTGTTTGTTTGTTTGTTTTGTTTTTTGAGACAGGGTTTCTCTGTGTAGCTTTGCTCCTTTCCTGGAACTCACTCTGTAGCCCAAGCTGGCCTCGAACTCACAGAGATCCGCCTGGCTCTGCCTCCTGAGTGCTAGGATTAAAGGCATGTGCCACCACTGCCCGGCTTGCATACTGTTTTATACGTCACTGAATTCAACTGACCCGACAGGAGACACACGTCTACCAGTTAAAAGAAAAGGAACCCTTTAAAATGTAGATTGTTAACAGTATTGCTATGTAACAACTCACTACAGGGCAGGGTTTTCTGCTTACCTCTGACATATCATGAACCAGCAAGAGAGGGATGCTTATTGTTGTGATGTCGTGGGTACAGCAAACCTTGAGTATATTTCGGAGTCCCATAATAGCAGGATCCCGAGCAGTGATATTTCCAGATTTCACATTGTCATCCACACAGAGATGGAAAGCAACATGGATTTCAGAGAGATTAGAATGACGTGTAATATAAAATTCTCCTGTGAACAACAAATGCAGCCATGATTTTCAAAAGCATGAGTCACACTCATCCACAGCTCTATAAATAACCATGGGAGAAGCCAATGGGTTGACTTCATATTAGGAAGCAACTGCAATCATTGCTTCTTATTCTTGGAGAAAAACAATTAAAATAAGAGATAACAGCCAGTTTGTCAAGAGGGTCACAGAGTGGTATGAAGGAACCCCTTGGATAATAGGTATATAAGTGTTTATAATCTCTACTCAACATAAAATGTCAAATTTAACATGTGAAAATATGTGACTTGGCTACCTGCCTCCCTGCATCCGAGGTTTGCTCTCTCACATCTCAGCTGATTGACTGGCCAATCTTTGCTTAGCAGTCTCTCAGATCCTAAATACAGAAACTGCACTTAATCCCTTCTCCATTATCCATCCCCGTCCAATGAGCTCTTTGTTCTCAGTCATGCCTGACTATAAACCTACTGGTCCAAAATGATTCAAATACCCTGTGTAGCACTCTCTCACTTAGACACATTGCACAGCTGGAAACAGCCAGCTCTTTACTAAGATCCACAAGGCCTACACTGCTTGGACAAGGCCTTTCTCTTCAACACCCCTTGCCTCATCTCTCTTCTTTGCTCTAGCCACACAACCTTTGTTCAGCTCTAAAAACCTGTAGAGATTTTTCCCAATTGAGGCTGATGCCTAGAGGCTTTTCTCCAATCTTTTCTCATGGCTGATACCACCAATCACACCTCAGATCAAATGTGGCCTTCTTGGAAAGGCTTTCTTTGACATCCTACCTGATACAGGACTCTCCCTGTCACACGGTTTTTACCACCATTGCTCTATTTTTCTCTTAACAATGACATCCTATTATTTACGTAGATTATGTTAAAGAGGGTACTATTTATGGCTCACAGTTAATGAGGGCCTTTTCTATCTTAATAATCCATGTCTAGTACATAGAAAGTTCTCAATAAAGATTTGTTGAATGCATGGGGGGTGTTTCAGATGGACTGCTGGAGTGGTGTTTCTTAAACTGTAAAATTCAGGCTTCTTACAATCATTTTTCTTATGCAGCCTAATAGCCAAGAAAATCTCATCAGCTTTTGTTCTGTCAACAATGAGTAACCTAGCAGACACATGTAAATACATATTTATCTATGTGCACATCTCAGTAGAAATTCTGCCCTGTCCTCCCAGAAGTTTATATTCACTCTTCTACAATTAGCCCTTGCCCTCAATTTCATTCATCTTTGTCGCGAACTATATTAGAGTTGTCTTTTTAACCCTAATACTTGTATTTAAAGATACTTCGTAGGCCCTCTAAGAGCCAGGGTAGAACGAAGGCACAGCTAGGAAGCTGAAGCTGCTGGAGAAGTCCCTACACTGATGAGGGACACACAGCGAGCTCACAGCAAGCGACAGAAACAACGGTCCAAGGCTCACAGGACTGACAACTACAGCAACCCATTCGGTCAAACAAGTCCATATGGGGTATTCACTGGAATACCACGGAAGGAAAAGCAACAGTTAGCAATGGTTAGAATACAGGATCACTTGAGCAGATGGACACATCAGAGAGGGATCTTAATTCACAACCTGAAGACAGTCCACCTTGCAGGACGAACCTCACCTTGGGAAATATCATACCATACTGTGAATGCCATCCCTTTATAGTTGACCTGACATTTCAAGCAAAGGAGAAATATCTTGCTGGCTTTGTCCCATCCACCCAGACATTAGGCAACATCTGTCTAGTACTGTCTTTATCGAGAACAAATTGTATACTAACTCCCATTGGGATTCATGCTATACAGAAGTGTGCTTTAAAATATTGTAAGAACATTCTGGAACACAGTACTAATACACTAAACTGATGAGTAGTCATTATTTACTTGTGAAGTTGGTAGAATTTTTTAAGTATAAACTCTTATCTGAATGTTTCATTGCCTTTTCATTGAATTTTTGCAATTTTGCAGTGTATAAAAATTCAACTATTGGCCGGGCAGTGGTGGCGCACACCTTTAATCCCAGCACTCGAGAGGCAGGCAGATCTCTGTGAGTTCGAGGCCAGCCTGGTCTACAGAGTGAGATCCTGGAAAGGCACAAAGCTACACAGAGAAACCCTGTCTCGAAAAACAAAACAAAACAAAAAAAAATTAAAAAAAAAATTCAACTATCAAAAACAGTTGAGAACAAGTTGTTAATTATCTTGTATAGATGAAATTTATCTTAATAAAAGTTACAATTCAGTGGCTTAATACTACAAAATAGGTTCATCTATCTGGCTACTTACTAAACTCTTTATGTTTTAAAATTCATTTTCCTGGGGTTGGAGAGATGGCTCAGTGATGAAGAGCACTGGCTGCTCTTCCAGAGGACCGGGATTCAATTCCCAGCACCTACATAGCAACTCACAACTGTCTGTAACTCCAGTTACAGGAGATCCGACACCCTCACACAGATACACATGCAGGCAAAACACCAATGCACATAAAATAAAAATAAATAAATCATTAAAAATAAAAAATTCATTTTCCTTTTATGAATATTTATGGTATTTTGTTTATTAAAATCTAAAATAAAATAAATCAATCCAGGAATACATAAAGGGAAGACATATGTACTTGTTTTCAGTATTTCTATGAGATAGTAAATGTGTTTGAGAAAAAATATTTTATAAAAGTACTGTGGCCATGTTAGATGGCTCAGTAGATAGAGGCATTTGCTGTCAGCACTGATGACCCGAGCTTGATCCCCAGGACCCACACGGTAGGAGGAGAACACTAACACCCACAAGTTGTCCTCTGACTTTTACATGTGTACCAGGGCATGTGCACATGCATGAATGCAGACAGAATACAGGCACACACGTATGCACACATCTAAATAAACGTAATACAATCATGAAGTATGTAGTATGGTTTTGCACCTTAACATCGTTAGTTACTGGTGTATATAAGCTGCACCTCCAGATGCCTCTTTAAAAACAAACTAACGAACTAGAAAAAGAACATGGACAAAGGATGGGGCCAGAGATAGAACATAAGCCAGTCAAGGAGAAAGGAAAAAGGAAGTCGTCTGGTGATGGCAATGAGACATGGACTGCTCGTCAGAAAGGAGTTGACCATGTGGGGCAGTGATCTTCTGGGTCCTGTGCCTGTCTGCCACTGAAATGCCTGCTGGTTGCGCAGTGGGAGGGACTCCCAGCACTGGGTTTGGGCTGTGGGCCAGCAGGAGGGGGGATGGCTTAGTGAGCCGGTCAGGTGCTCCTAATCCCCAACCTGGCACTGCTTTGTTCGACCTTAGATGACTTGCCTCTGGTCTCACTTTACCCATTAGTAAAATGGGGCCAGTCCAGGCGTGGCAGTAGTAGCAGATTACTAAGGCACTGCAGAAGAGGGTCTGGGTTGGAGTGAAGGAGAGCTGCTGCCCTCCAGCACTCTGGCTAGGTGAGGCAGTGACCGCACCTCAACTTACTCACCTGGTACTGTGTGCAGGCAAAGGGGAAATCAGACCTAACGGCTTTTTTTATGAAACTGTGAAAATTGGATGACATAAGCTGTTAAGTACGTAGTTCATAATAAAGAAACAACCATTCCTGGGCTAAGGGGAAAGGAACAGGATTAAAAACATACTGCACAAAAAATGTTTAAATTAAAAATTAAATTTTGGCCGGGCGGTGGTGGCGCACGCCTTTAATCCCAGCACTCGGGAGGCAGAGCCAGGCGGATCTCTGTGAGTTCGAGGCCAGCCTGGGCTACCAAGTGAGCTCCAGGAAAGGCGCAAAGCTACACAGAGAAACCCTGTCTCGAAAAACAAAAACAAAAACAAACAAAAAAAAAATTAAATTTTGAAAAAAGTATATGAAAACAACTGGTTTTCTTCACGGTTTAAAATAAGTTTTGATGAAGATACTTTTCCTCTCCTGTCAATATGTTGGCTGTGGAAATTCAGATGCTGTCAGTATAGTGGTGGTTTCAAACTCCTTTCCTACTTCAGACTTAAGGCACATCATTCCTTGTTCAGCCTCCTTGCTCAGCGGTAATAATGACACTAACTCACAGGCTTTTTTTTTTTTTTTTTTTTTTAAGGAAGGAAGGAAATAAATAGAACAATAAAGAGATAGGCACTTCCAAAACAGTAACAGCCAACACACTCCTAGAAAGCCACAGTGTGATGACTCAGGTCATGGGCCCACGAGGAATAATAGGTAAATGGCTCCTGCTCCCCAGAGGGGAGGAAACAGCCTGTGGTGATTCTAAATATTATCCATGAGGGCAGGAGATGCGAAGGTAGGAGGAAATTTGGGGGCTGATGACCACAATTCGATGTGCTATGCCTTCTAGGGTGAATGCAGAAATGAGACTGGCTTTTCCTTCAGTTAGTGGCATGGCCTGTGTGCTCAAGATCTGCGGAAGGAAATGGGAGAAACTACCTTAAAAGAGGAGAGCAAACGATCAAGGAAGATGATTTTAAGACTGTGAAACCTACCACTGTATTTAAGAGTTCACATTTACAGAGCACGCACAAGGCTTCCTGTGGTGTCTGGGCATGTGAGGGACTGTAAGAACCAGAACCAGCTGTGAATTCACCCAGAAGGAAGACTGAGAGCTTGAATTCCACCTGTTAAATGCATCCAATAACAAGAAGGGAAATGAAGACCCAGAGGCAGAAAGAGGTGAGGGAAATGTGAACAAGAGTCTACAGCAAATGGCCCACTACCAGCAAATGGTTCAACCACGTTCATCTCTGTGCACTCCTCCTTCTAGTTTAGAGTTAAAATCACCTCTCGGCTCATTACTTAGTAACTAAGAAACAATGTATAAGAGCACATTAGAAATATAAAATCATGAAACTTCTATGTGACTTTTGGGCGTTTCTATATGGATCTAGAAGTTAAGTCATTACTAGTACAGAAATGGGGCTTACATTGGAGAACGTCTGTCAGAGTGTATTATACAGACACGAGTGCTGTTTCAAAGAGATATACGGCCAAACATTTTATAATGAACACCGTAAGAAAGCATGTTTCAAACCTACTATTTTAATGTATGCGACCATAAGAAAGCAATAATTTAAAACAAAATGATACTCACCAGGTAAAATATTCAAATAGTTTCTCTCAGAATTCTTAGATTTATCATCACTTCCTCCGTTTTGGTTTCCAGAATCTATTCATAAAGAAAATACAACACAAAGGAATATTGCCACATACAGAAATATATCAGCCCTCCTCTTTCAAAACAACCACAATATAAAAGTGTACTCTGTGCTCTTTCAAGACAACCACAACAGCAAAGTGCACTGTGTGCCCCACACGCCTGCCGTCTGCTCCATGTTATGAGTGCACTGTGCGCCCCACACGCCTGCCGTCTGCTCCATGTTATAAGAGTGCACTGTGCGCCCCACACGCCTGC